AGAGTAGAGTAGAGTAGAGTAGAGTAGAGTAGAGTAGAGTAGAGTAGAGTAGAGTAGAATAGAGCCTAAATGGACTCTGGAGGATGGTAGAGGACAGGAAGGCCTGGAGGAACGTTGTCCATGGGGTCGCGAAGGGTCAGACACGACTTTGCAACTAACAACAACAACAACAATAGAACAGAACAGAACAGAATAGACTAGACTAGACTAGACTAGAATAACAGTAGAATAGAATAACAGTACAATGGAATGGAATGGAGTAGAATAGAATGGAATGGAATGGAATGGAATGGAATAGAATAGAATAGAATAGAATAACAGTCTGAATACACTCTGAATAGAACAGCAATAACCTTTCTTGCACTTCTGTATGGAAAATTGTGTGGGTTGGTGGCTGGGCTCAGCAAGGGTAATGTGAGATCCTGAGGTCAGGGCAACGGGGAAAAGTATTGCCTGAGAACCAACTGCCGTGCGAGAAAGTTCCCACATGTAAAAGTGGCCTAAGGATGTGATTCCCATGACTTCCTATATGCTTTCCCAAAGAGAGAGGGTGGTTGTTGTTGTTGTTTTATTTTGGTTTTGGCTACTTAAAAAGAAAATGGCCTTTTCAAATGGAAATCAATCCCTAAAGCAGGCTTGCTTAATGGAGGGATCGGGAATGGAATGCACTGGCAACTCTTAGCTTGTTTCTTTGCTTCCGACACTAATATTGGCGTTTTTGTATTTTTGGTAAGCATAAGCTTGCCAGAGGCACTCAATGTTTGGGATATTTTCAAGTCTGCTAGGAGGCATGTGTAGGAAATATATCATCTGTATCTGGTTTCGTTTGTCTGTTTGCTTTGGATTTAGCTATAAGTTAAAGATGCTATCTTTCATCTGTACTATCCTCCAAATTCCATATCTGCCTGCCTATCTCCCTCAACTTCTTTCTGACTTGCTTCCCACAATAAGAAATTGTTTTTCTAATCTCTTTTTGATTTCTTCTATGGAGGTTTGTTTTACTTTGGGGCTATCATCCCAGGAACGTATTTTTTTGAAAGAATCCAGGTTTTGGTTTCTCTTAACATTTGCATCCAAAATACAATTTTCCAGAGGGGAAGTCAAGTGGTTTAATCAAACTGAAACTATTAATAACACAGAGTTGGAGGGGACCTTGGGGTCCAAACACCTGCACAAGCAGCAAACCTTATACCATTTCAAACAAATGGTTGTCTCTTCTTCACTCTATTCTTAATAGAATATGAATAGAATCCTTAATTCTGTTGAATTAAGGCACAGGAGAGGAGGAGTAGAAGGAGCTGTCCTGGTCTGAGAAACCTTAATGGATGAGCCTGGGAAGATTTTTACGCAGGCCAACGTCTTGTTTTCGTCCACATTTACAAAACACAATTACACCCCCGTTTAATAGAAGATGAGGAGAACTTCTTTAACAGAATAACAGAAGGGACCTTGAAGGTCTTCTAGTCCAACCCCCCCACACACACACACAAGCAGGAGATCCTATAGCATTTCAGACAAATGGTTGTCCAACCTCTTGTTAAAAACCTCCAGTGATGGAGCACCCACAACTTCTGGAGGCAAGTTGTGCCGCTGGTTAATTGTTTGCCTGATAACCGAGTGAACCTAGCATACCCACCTGGCTCCATAGACATAAAAACAGTAGATGTGGAATGTCAGGAGTGCAATGATGTCCGAGAGGATGGAAAGGGCCACAGTCAAGCCAAGGCAGGCTGACAAGCCAACGTACCACAAGATCTTCTCAATGAATGGAGACATCAGATGGATATAGCCTGAACAAGGAAACAGCAGCACTTAAAAAGAGCAACCATCTCTCTTCAATGAGAGTTTATCACAAATAATAAAACAGAATCGGAAGGGACCTTGGAGGTCTTCTAGTCCAACCGCCTCCTCAAGCAGGAGATCCTATACTATTCCAGACAAGTAGCTGTCCAGTCTCTTTTTAAAAACTTATATATTGGAGCATTCACAACATCTGAAGGCAAGCTCTTCTACTGGCTCATTTGTTCTCAGTGTCAGGAAATTTAGTTCTAGGTTGGATCTCTCTGTTCGATTTCCATCCATTGCTTCTTGTCTTGCCTTCAGGTGCTTTGGAAAATAGGTTGACCACTCTCTTCTTTGCTAACAATCCCTCAAATATTGGAACGATGCTATCATGTCACCCCTAGTTCTTCTTTTCATTAGACTAGACAAATCTGCAACCATTCCTGCAAATAGCCCCGAAACTTTCTATCTCCAAGATAAAGATCAAATCTCTTACAAAACGATAGTGGAAGTGATAACCATAAGGATTATAGCTTGTTGAGAAACAAATGAAATCTGGTATCTGAATTCAACTTTGCCTGCCTGTCAAGAACAAGTGTTCAGTTGCTGTAACAAACTGCAAGGCCTAGACGTGAAACTAAAACTTAGAAATTTTGGGTGCATCATGCCAAGGCAAGAGTCAATGGTGAAGATTCCCAATGCTTAGAAAAATCAAACAGAAAAAAGAGACTGAAAAAAAAAGATGGTTAGATACCATCACTGATGACCCAAGTCTGAGTCTATAACACTCTAAAGGAACAGTCAATGCAATCCTGATGAAACAATGGCCATCGGGTCATCAAAGGTTTGGAATTACTGAACAATGACAAGAATAAATAAATCAGAGCCTAAAATGACAACGTCTTTGTATCTCACTAACAGTCCAAAGAACAAACAAGCATGACCTCTATAAGAAAAGAAAAGAAAAAAGAATAGAGTAGAGTAGAGTAGAGTAGAGTAGAGTAGAATAGAATAAAATAGAGGATGGAAGGGAAGGGAACGGAATAGGAATAGGAATAGAATAGAATAGAATAGAATAGAATAGAATAGAATAGAATAGAATAGAATAGAATAGAATTCTTTATTGGCCAAGTGTGATTGGACACACAAGAAATTGTCTTCGGTGCGTAAGCTCTCAGTGTACATAAAATATATTCATCAAGAATCATAAGATACAATACTTAGTGATAGTCATAGAACACTAAATAAGCAATCAAAATCCTATGAGAAAACTAAAACAATATAGATTGTAAAGATGCAAGCAACAAGGTTATAGTCGTAAGTTGAAGGAGATCGGTAATAGGTAATTTATAAATCTATACATTTATAATTATTTATGTGCTTGTTGGGTATCAGAGAGAGTTACATAAAAACCTAGACAAGAATGACACATACAGCTCTAAGGTGCCATGTCCTATTCTTAAACCTTAGGTCCCCAGTTCCAGAACACAGTTTCTAGAACCTCTACAAGAGATTCAACATTCAACAATACATTCAGATGTTCTTGCTTTCTCTGGCCTGGGGCCTGCGAGCCATCAAAGTCAAGGATGATAGGATTTGTAGTCTAAACTATCAGATGGCATCAGCTGGTTTTCCTCAAATGGCACAAAGGAGTTTGCCACATGTCACAGACAAAGGAAGAGAAGGGCACTTACTAAGCCAGAGGTGGATGTGGTAAAGGAAAAAGCGGCCCAGCACCTGATCCAAAGCTCTGTTCATTTTTAGACCGGCTGGCACGCCCATCAGCCACTGCAGGATGTTCTGGAGCTGCTGGGCGATATGCTGCAGAAAAAGGAAGAGATTAGTAGCATCAGTGGAAAACAGCTTGTAAAGAATAAAGAGCGCTCTTCTAAAAAGCTAAAATATCCTGAATGGTTTTATTCCCTTTTTTTTAACTCATGGAAAGGAAAATGCATTGGAAGCATCAAAATCAGAGGTGGTATTCAGCCAGTTCTGGAGAACCAGTAGCAGAAATTTTGAGTAGTTCGGAGAACCGGTAAATCCCACCTCTGACTGGCCCCGCCAACCCCATCTCTTCTCCGCCTCCCAAGTCCCAGTTGATCGGCTGGGTCTTCTTTGGTTGCCCTGCACAGGAGAACGGAGCTGGAAAGCAGGTTAGTGGGGTGGGGAGAGAATGGAGATTTTGCAGTAACTTTCCCCCAGGAGTGGAGAGGGAATGGAGATTTTACAGTATCCTTTCCCTGACACGCCCACCAAGCCACGCCCACCAAGCCACGGCCACCAAGCCACGCCCACAGAACTGGTAGTAAAAAAAATTGAATCCCACCACTGATCAAAATACAGTGTTTTTCAACCATGGCAGACTTCAACTCCCAGAATTCCCCAGCCAGCCTTATGTTAAAATTGTTAAGGTTAAGAAACACTGATCAATATATTTAAATCCCACTGGGATCTTTGCCGGCCAGGTTTTAGTTTTCTGCATATGGGTTACTACTAGCCACAATAAAACCACGATAGCAAACAAGGACGCTGTTTCTCAGTCTGAATGGGGGCTAAAGGACCGTCAATGGGAACGGAAACTAGAGAGGCAGGAGGAAGGAGAAAGAAGGAATGTCATTTTACACGAGGGATGTAATTTCTTTTTATCAGTATTTGGCTACGGATCACAAGTTCTTATGATTTATGGAGGGAAAAGTCTCATATGTATTTGCCACAGGGCTTTTAAGCAGTCAAAAGCCACAAGAATTTATCATGGGAATAACAACCACAGCCGCCGCCACCACCAATCTTCCTCTCTCTGGCTGGGCTCAAAGTCAATTCAATTTGCATCATATATATATAAATATATTGCTTAAAATGGGTAGTGAGATGCTTTCATAAAACAATGAGCAATGAACCGCTTAAGAGAAGCGTTTTTGTGGTAGGAATACCTTTCTGAGGGCTGTTGGCTCTGCATGCTAGTCCACAGTGACATTGTGGTCACACAGCCTTTGGAGGGAATCCAGGATAAATACTTGATCCTGGACCAGAGGGAAAGGAATCTGAAGTAGCTCAGGCCTTTATTTGCAATTATTAAGCGAAGCATCTGAAGTCAAAAGAGGAGGCCGGAGATGGAAACTCAATCGAAGTCTCAGCTAATATGAGACTAAGCTCTTCAAAAGTTCTTCTGTCCACGTTCCACTGAAGAGAAGGGTGTGTGTGTGTGATGGTGCTTATATATTTAAACCAACATCTAAGTCATGATTGCTTGATAGATAGGAAAGCCGGCCTGCCCTCCACTGCTTCGCAGCTCTTTGACGAAGAAGAGTTAGAAGGCAGCAGAGACTGAAATATGAATGAATCGCCACCATTACCCAACTGGAGTGGACGCCAACGCCATGCACACATTTGCCTGTAGGGATTCTCAGCCATCCAGGTCATGGTTGTCCCCAAGGTGCTTTTTCTTCCCGGGAGGCAGATGGACTTCCTTCTTTTTTCCTTTTGGAGACGTTTCCCTTCTCATCCAAGAAGCTGCTTCAGCTCCGACAGGTTCCATTCCCCACCATCATCCAGTCAGAGCTGAAGCAGCTTCTTGGATGAGAAGGGAAACGTCTTCAAAAGAAAAAATAAGGAAGTCCAGTTGCCTCCTGGGAAGAAAAAGCACCTTGGGGACTACATCAGTGGTGGGATTAAAAAAATATATATATTACCGGTTCTGTGGGCGTGGCTTGGTGGGCGTGGCATGGCTTGGTGGGCGTGGCATGGCTTGGTGGGTGTGGCAGGGGAAGGTTACTGCAAAATCCCCATTCCCTTACCCACCCCACTAACCTGCTTTCCAGCTCCGTTCTCCTGTGCAGGGCAACCAAGGGAGACTCAGCCAATCAGCTGGGACTCAGCGGGGCGGAGAATAGATGGGGGCGGGGCCAGTCAGGTGGCATTTGCCGGTTCTCTGAACTACTAAAAAATGTCCGCTACCGGTTCTCCAGAACGGGTCAGAACCGGCTGAATATCACCTCTGGACTACATGCACACATGTTAAGCAAGGGAGAATTTAAATCAACATTTGCTAGACTAAGCTGCAGGGTTTAGTTCAGGGATCTGTGGGCCACGTGGTGGGGTGGGGTTTGCAACTGGGCTGTGGAAACGGCCAGCAAGGGTGTGTGCGCACACGCACACTCATCCTCACTCACACAATGGAGCTGTGCACGCTTGCCGGCCGTTTGCGGAAACCATCCCCTCCTCCTCCCCCACCCCAATTGGTCCACAAAACCGGAAACACTGGGGAACTCTGGTCTAATTCCCAGGGTCAGACTCGACTGTGGGCTACCTGAATACTACTACGACCAGGCGGAGTTAAACTTCGGCGTAGGATGCGCGCAAAGAGAACTTACATCGGCCATTGGGACGAGGCCACTGGAAAGATAACCGATCCAGTTCATTTGATACAACCAGGACATGAGCAAGATGCCCAGAGCCATGTCGATGAGGAGAGAGATAAAGATGTTGGCTTTCCTGTGTTGGGGGGGAAAAAAAACAAAACATGGTTTGCCATGTCGGGTAGAGTTAAGCGTCCCTCCAAATCCAGACACGTTCAAGCTTTTCTTTTAGGATAAGAATCAAGTTTATATGCTGCATCGTTTGTTGAATAAGTGTCAAGCATGAGGGGAAATCAGGAGATCCAGCCAGTTCAATTGTATATAAAGACTAGCTCGATAGCCGTGTTTTGCTACGGAACTATGTGGTTGGGCTTAGTTTTGGGGGAAGAAAATGAGAAAAAAAAATTCTGCCTCTGCCTACCAGCCTCCATCGGCTCGCGTCCTGTCAGTGTGTGAGAGAGTTGAGGGCTGTTTTGAAACTGAAGCAGTATTTGCTGTGTGAGCAAGAAGGAGACAGCAAGGAGCCTGGGTGTGGCTTAGCTCAATTGTTCTGGACTAAAGCTGCTTGCTACTGTGAAACTGAAACTGAAACTCCTCTGCTCGTGTTTTGTATTTGGAACAGATTTCTTTTCAGGTGGGGAGGGGGAGTAGAACTCCTTAGCTGTTGTGGTTAGCCAGCAGCAGGTGCAGACGGCTGAGGAGAGCGAGGACTCAGATGAGGGGCCAGGACCATCAGGGAGTGGACTGCTGCCTTCAGAGGTTGTGGGGGCTGGCAGCAGTGATGAGGAGGTTCCCGAGGAGCCTGTGCCAAGTGCACGTGCACGAAGGATTACTCGGAGGAAAGAACAATTATAGCAGCACAGCCGACTCGGGAGTAAGGCTGCAAGGTAATGGCCCCTCCCTCAAGAGGATAAAAGCCAGGTTTGAAAAAAGCATTCTTTGCAGAAAGCAAAGAAGCTCTGAAGCTCAACTGGTGGACATCTTAGTTCGTGTTTGAAGAATCTTGTAAGTTAGTTCTTATCACTGGGTTTTTGGCCGCACTGACGAACAACTTGGCAAGGCTCTTTCTTGTCGGAGCTAATTAGTGGAAAGCAGCCTTTTATCTGCAAAGGAACAGAATTCGTTATTAAACCTTAAAAGGTGGGGGCTGCTGCCTTTGTCTGTGTTTGCTCTTTGGGAACCTGGTTGGGTCAGAACATTAGCATCAAAGTGTGTTAATAATAATAATAATATAGGAAATACTAATGCTCTGATGGTCATTTCGAAAAATCCTTTCTTAGTGAGCACCTAGAAGCCAAGAGGAACATACGTGCCAAATTTCAAGTTTGTAGGCTTTATGGTTCTGGAGATTTTGTGATGACGCGTGAGTGGCATTTCGCTTTTATATACATAGATTTAACTCAAACTTGAGCTCTCCACAAGAATCTGAACTACTAGCGGTCAAGGGAAACGAGTGGGAGATAAGAATAGAAAGGAATTCAAGGTGGACTAGACTGAGATCTCTTGTGGGTACTCAGGGACTCATGACTGATAACGCCTTTGATCTCTCCCTCGGGCTCAGCCTGGTCCTCTCCTACAATAAGACACCATCGGCTAGATTTTCCAAACATGCTACACCACAACTGTGGGGATGCTGTGACGGTCGTAATTGCGAGGAACGGTTGCAAGTCACCTTTTTCAGTGCTGTTGTAACTTTGAATGGTCACTAAACGAATGGTGGTAAGGCAAGGACTACGTGTAAAGGGAAAAGTAGAATCCAGGAGTCCTCCAAAGGCATTTGAGGTTTCTGCAACCATGCAGAGGCAGGTGCTGTACAGATATTCCCTACAGCTGTGCCGGGGTTGGCATGGCAGCCTCTGTTTCCTGGGCAACTCTCTCGTTTGCTGGATAGAAATGGAAGTTGTGTGGGCAGTGGTACGGGGGCAGCAGCAGTGGGGAGGAAAAAAGCCCAAAATGCTCAGTCCAATGTGATTGTCTCAGGTGCAGCACCACAAAATATAAACGCAATGGAACAGAATGTTTCTAGAAACAATGAGAAGCGTGCCCACACGCACAATTATATTTTGGGAAACAGAATGTTCTATCCTCACTTATAAAAAAAACTTCTCTCTCTCTCTCTCTCTCTCTCTCTCTCTCACACACACACACACACACACACACACACACACACAGACAATACCACAATATCAAGAGAGTCCCTTTTTTCCGCCTCTTTGCATATAAACCTACTGGCACCAAAATGGCAACTTTATGACCATGCCTTAGTTTGATAACTTTCTTTCTTTCTTTCTTTCTTTCTTTCTTTCTTTCTTTCTTTCTT